TCAAAAAAAAAAAAAAAAAAAACAATGCAAATTTACAGTAGTTGGGTCGAAAGTCTAAACTGGCTTTTTTTTTTTTTTTAATTGGAGACAGGGTCTCCCTCTATTCCAGGCTAGAGTGCAGTGATGCAATCATGAACCACTGCAGCCTTGAACTCCAAGGGATCTTCTCACCTCAGCCTCCTGAATAGTTAGGACTATAGACACATGTCACCAAACCTGATTAATTTTTCTTCTTATTTTTTGTAGAGAGGAGGTCTCCCCAGGCTGGTCTCAAACTACTGGGCTCAAGCAATCCTCTGACCTCAGACTCCCAAAGTGCTGGGATTATAGGCATGAGCCACTTTGCCCTCCCAAAGTGCTGGGGTTATAGGCATGAGACACTTTGGTAAATGCTATCAAAGATGTAATACAGGGTGGTGTAAGAGAGACTAGGTGCTGGCAGGGCTACTGTAGCATGTCAGGTCAAGCTCTTGAGCATTTGAGGTGAAAAATAAATTATGAGAAGGTGGCAACCCTCCAAATATCTGAAGGAGGCCAGGCGAGGTGGCTCACACCTGTGATCTTAGTACTTTGTACTTTGGGAGGCTGAGGTGGAAGGACCACCTGAGCCTAGGAGTTCCAGACCAGCCTGGGCAAAATAGCAAGATCCCATCTAAACATGACCTATAAGGGCTGGATGCAGTGGCTCACACCTATAATCCCAGCTTTTTGGGAGGTGGAGGCACTCAGATCACCTGAGGTCAGGAGTTCAAGACCAGCCTGACCAACATGTGAACCTGTCTCTACTAAAAATACAAAAAATTAGCCAGACACAGTGGCGTACACCTGTAGTCCCAGCTACTCGGGAGGCTAAGGTGGGAGAATTGCTTGAACCCGGGAGGCAGAGGTTGCAGTGACCTGAGATTGGGCCACTGCACCTTAGTCTGGGTGACAGAGTGAGACTCTGTCTCAAAAAAAAATAAATCAATAAGTAAATTAAATTAAATATAAAAATGACCTATGAGAACCAAAAAGGGCTGGGTGCCGTGGCTCACACCTGTAGTCCCAACATTTTGGAAGCCCAAGGCGGTGGATCACTTGAGTCCAGGAGTTGGAGACCAGCCTGGGCAACATGGCAAAACCCTGTCTCTACCAAAAATACAAAAAATTAACCAACTGTGTTGGTGCACAGCTGTGGTGCCAGCTACTCAGGAGGCTGAGGTGGGAGGATCACTTGAGCCTGGGAAGCAGAGGTTGCAGTGAGCCGAGATCTCGCACTGTACTCCAGCCTGGCAACAATGCAAGACTCCGTCTCAAAAAAAAATCAAGAACAAATGTCAATTGCCCCTTAGAGATAAATCACATAGAATAGATAAATATGTGGGAGAAATAGTACCAAATACAATCACATTAAAAACTAATATCCAAGTACTTTGGAGGCTAAGGCAGAAGATCACCTGAGGTCAGTAGTTCAAGACCAGCCTGACCAACATGGTGAAACCCTGTCTTTAAAAAAAAAAAAAGAAAAAAACTAATATCTTTCTTTTTTCTTATTATTACTTTTTTTGTTCTAGAAACATGGTCTCACTGTAGCCTAGGCTGGAGTGCAGTGGTATAATCATATCTTACTGTAACCTCAAATTCCTGGGTTCAAGGGACTCTCCAGCCTCAGCCTCTTGAGTAGCTGGGACTACAGGCATGAGTCACCATGACTGGCTCAGGACTCATTTATTGAATGACACTATGTACCAGACTTATCCCAAGCACATGCTAATGCAGTTCCTATTATGAAAGCTTACAGTCCAGACTTGACAAATTACCAAATGATTACCCTGGAAAATTTCATTCCCCATTCTGGGCCTCAGTTTCTCCATTTGTGAAATGAGCTGTTTAAATTTAATGTTTCCCCAAGTGCAGGTAAGATTATTTTTTGTAAAATATTTGAACACCATTAAAAATCACTGTGAGAGGCTGGCGCAGTGGCTTACACCTGTAATCCCAGCACTTTGGGAGGCCAGGGAAGGTGGATTACGAGGTCAGGAGTTCAAGACCAGCCTGGCCAAGATAGTGAAACCCCGTCTCTACTAAAAATACAAAAAATTAGCTGGGTGTGGTGGCGTGTGCCTGTAATCCCAGCTACTCAGGAGGCTGAGGCAGAGGTTGCAGTGAGTCGAGACTGTACCACTGCACTCCAACCTGGGCAACAGTGTGAGATTCCGTCTCAAAAAAAAAAAAAAAAGCACTGTAAGAAAAGAATCTCTTTTACATGTCTTTTTGTTTGTTTGTTTTTTTGGAGAGAGTCTCCCTGTCACCAGGCTGGAATGCAGTGTCGCAATCTTGGCTCACTGCAAACTTTGCCTCCCAGGTTCAAGCAATTCTCCTGCCTCAGCCTCCCAAGTAGCTGAGACTATAGGCGTGCTCCACCACTCCCAGCTAATTTTTGTATTTTTGGTAGAGACGGGGTTTTACCGTGTTGGCCAGTATGGTCTCGATCTCTTGACCTCATGATCTGCCTGCCTTGGCCTACCAAAGTGCTGGGATTACAGGCGTGAGCCACCGCGCCTGGCCCTCATTTATTTTTTTAATAGAGATGGGAGTCTCCCCATGTTGCCCAGGCTGGTCTCAAACTCCTGGCCTTAAGTGATCCCCGCATCCTGGTCTCCCAAAGTGCTGGGATTACAGGTATGAGCCACCATGCCCAGCCAGTCACCCTTATTTATTTATTTATTTTTTGAGATGGAGTTTTACTCTTTTTTTTTTTTTTTTTTTTTTTTGAGACGGAGTTTCGCTGTTTTTGCCCAGACTGGAGTGCAATGGCACGATCTCGGCTCACTGCAACCTCCGCCTCCTGGGTTCAAGCAATTCTCCTGCCTCAGCCTCCCTAATAGCTGGGACTACAGGCACGCACCATCATGCCCAGCTAATTTTTGTATTTTTTTTTAGTAGAGGTGAGGCTTCACCTTGTTGACCAGGATGGTCTCGATCTCTTGACCTCGTGATCCACCCGCCTCGGCCTCCCAAAGTGCTGGGATTACAGGCTTGAGCCACCGCACCCGGCCGGAGTTTTACTCTTATTGCCTAGGCTGGAGTGCAGTGGCACGATCTCCGCTCATTACAATCTCCTCCTTCTGGGTTCAACTGATTCTTCCTTCTCAGCCTACTGAGTAGCTGGGATTACAGATGCCCACCACCATGCCTGGCTAATTTTTTGTATTTTTAGTAGAGATGGAGTTTCGTCATTTTGGCCAGGCTGGTATTGAACTCCTGACCTCAGGTGATCCACCCACCTTGGCCTCCCGAAGTGCTGGGATTACAGGCTTGAGCCACCACGCCTGGCCTCAGTCACTGCTTTTCCAATCCTTTTCTAATTCTACCTCTAATAGGAAGTCTCAGTTTGGTGTAATCTTTTTTCTTTGTTTTTGATTTTTGTTTTTTGTTTGTTTTTGGTTTTGATTTTTTTGAGTCAGGGCCTCACTCTGTTGCCCAGGCTAGAATGCAGTGGCACAATTGCGGCTCACTGCAGCCTCGACCTCCCAGATTCAAGTGATCTTCACACCTCAGCCTCTCAAGCAGCTGAGACCCCAGGCAGCTGCCACTATGCCCTGCTAATTCTATTTTTTTTTTTTTTTTTTTTTGAGAGACAAACATCTCTCTATGTTGCCCAGGCTGGTCTCAAACTCCTGGCCTCAAGAGATTCTCCCACCTCAGCCTCCCAAAGTGCTGGGATGGCAGGCATAAGCCACCATCCCTAGCCCAATCTCCTTAACAAAGGACAAGCAGATCTGGCCCCTAAAGCCTGTACAGGCAACTCTCTCGAGCCAGCATATAATCACATTGTATTGTTTCACTGTCTTTTTTTTTTTTTTTTTTTTTTAACAGAGTCTTGCTTAGTCGCCTAGGCTGCAGTGCATGTAAGATCTTGGCTCACTGCAACCTCCGTCTCCCTGGTTCAAGCGATTCTCCTGCCTGAGCCTCCTGAATAGCTGGGACTGCAGACCCTCGCCAACATACCCAGCTAAATTTTGTATTTTTAGTAGAGATGGGGTTTCACCATATTGGCCAGGCTGGTCTCAAACTCCTGACCTCGTGATCCATCTGCCTCAGCCTCCCCAAGTGCTGGGATTATAGGTGTGAGCCACCAAGCCTGGCCTAATTTTTGTATTTTTAGTAGAGATGGGGTTTCACATACTGGCCAGGATGGCCTCAATCTCTTAACCTTGTGATCCGCCTGCCCGGCCTCACTGTCTTTATTTTTACTTCTAGCTCCCATTTATGGCAAGAAGTATAGGTTTTCTGCTTATGTATTGATATAAAGTTTCCTTTTGAAATAAAATTTATATAGCTAAAAATAAGTGAACCAATGCAAGAAAAATGCTAAGTAAATAATATAAGTGGTACGAGAATACAGCAAAAATCATACAGATAGAACAGGAACAACTGAAGTTAGGCAAACAAATCTATTCACTCGGCCCATTTTGCAGCCATGAAACCTAAGGCCCAGAGCAGGTAATAGAGTCTCAGCATTATCTCACTGACTCCGACATGGGAAGGAAATTGCAGAGGATGGCTGTGCATTCAAAATTCGTGTTGGGCACAGTTGCTTACACCTGTAATCCCAACACTTTGGGAGGCTGAGGCAGGTGGATTACAGTTGAGGACCAGCCTGGCCAACATGGTGAAACCCTGTCTCTACTAAAAACACAAAAACTAGCTGGACGTGGTGGCGCACGTCTGTAATCCCAGCTACTCAGGAGGATGAGGCAGGAGAATCACTTAAACCCTGGAGACAGAGGTTGCAGTGAGCCAAGATCACACCACTGCACTCCAGCCTGGGCAACAAACCAAGACTCTGTCTCAAGGAAAAAAAAAAAAATTCATTAGACAGTCATGAACCAGGAGGTTCCAGGCCAGCAGGCGGTCTCCGGTCAGGTACACAGGTCCTGAATCCACAAGTGATCGTATTGCACCTTCCATTCCACCTTGTCCCCACCAGACAAGATTCATTCATTCAACAAATATTTATGCTCCCTGCAGCAGTACATATACTAAAATTGGAATACCACAGAGAAGATTACCATGCCCCCTGTGGAAGGATGACATGCAAATTCATGAAATGTTTCATATTGAAAAAAAAATGTCCTGGCACAGTGACTCATGCCTATAATCCCAGCACTTTGGAAGGCCAAGGCAGGAGGTTCGTTTGAGCCCAGAAGTTGGAGACCAGCCTGGGCAACGTGGTGAAACCCTATCTCTACAAAAAATACAAAAATTAGCTGGGAAGCTTGGTGTAGTGGCTCATACCTGTAATCCCAGCATTTTGGGAGGCTGAGGTGGGTGGATCACCTGAGGACGGGAGTTTGAGAACAGCCTGGCCAACATGGTGAGACCCCATTTCTATCATAATTACAAAAATTAGGTGGGCTTAGTGGCTCACACCTGTAGTCCCAGGTACTCTTGAGACTGAAGCAGAAGAATCACTTGAACCTGGGAGGCAGAGGCTGCAGTGAGCTGAGATCGTGCCACTGCACTCCAGCCTGGGTGATAGAGAGACTCCGTCTCAAAAAAAAAAAAAAAAAAATTAGCTGGGCATGGTGGCATGTGCCTATAGTTCTGGCTACTCGGGAGGCTGAGGCCAGAGGAGCACTTGAACCCAGCCTGAGGGACAGAATAAGAACCTGTTTTTTTAAAAAAAAGGCTGGGCACGGTGACTCATGCCTGTAATCCCAGCACTTTGGGAGGCCAAGGTGAGCAGATCACGAGGTCAATAGATCGAGACCATCCTGCCTAACACAGTGAAACCCCATCTCTACAAAAAAATACAAAAAAAAAAAAAAATTAGTCAGGTGTGGTGGTGCATGCCTGTAGTCCCAGCTACCTGGGAGACTGAGGCAGGAGAATCATTTAAACCCAGGAGGCAGAGGTTGTGGTGAGCCGAGATCCCACCATTGCATTCCAGCCTGGGCAACAAGAGTGAAACACCATCTCAAAAAACAAAATACAAAAACTAGCCAGAAGTGGTGACAGGCACCTATAATCTCAGTTACTCAGGAGGCTGAAGCAGGAGAATCCCTTAAACTCAGGGGGTGGAGATTGCAGTGAGCTGAGATTATGCCACTGCACTCCAGCCTGGGCGACAGAGGGAGACCCTGTCAAAAACAAAAAACCCAGACAAATACTTGTTGACATTCTGTCACTTGCCAGGCGCTGTGCTAATTCTTAGGAATATGATGGTGAGACACAAGGAGCAAGAGTCTCTGATCTCAGGGAGTTTGTAATCCAGCAGGGACCAGGACAGAAAATCAGTTAACACATACACAAAAGCAAGAAAATTAAAGATTGCAATCAGTGCTACAAAAAAAAAAAAAAAAAAAAAAAAAAAGCTTGTGGCAAGGTACAGAATAACCACAGAACTACTTATTTAATTATTTAGGCTTGATTGTATTTTTTTCTTTCGGATTTTTCGGTTATCTGTTTTGAGAGGGAGTTTCGCTCCTGTTGCCCAGGCTGGAGAGCAATGGCGTGATCTCAGCTCACTGCAATCTCTGCCTCCCAGGTTCAAGCGATTCTCCTGCCTTAGCCTCCTGAGTAGCTGGGATTACAGGCGCCCACCACCACACCCGGCAAATTTTCTGTATTTTTAGTAGAGACAGGGTTTCTCCATGTTGGTCAGACTGTTCTTCAACTCCCAATCTCAGGTGATCAGCCTGCCTCAGCCTCCCAAAGTGCTGGGATTACAGGTGTGAGTCCCCGCACACGGCAAATTGATTGTGTTTATTTGTTAATTTACTTTGACCAGGTATAATGTGGTTCAAAATTCCAAAGGTACAAAAGATTTGGGGTAAAAATCTTCCTTCCACTCTTCCCTAGACACCCAGCTTCTTTTCCTGGAGGCAACAAGAGTTAACTATTTCTTGTGTATCCATTCAGAGGTACTTGAAGCATGTACAAGCAAAGGGGTATATATCTTCCGTGCTTTTACTTAAATGGTAACATAGAGGCCAGGTGCAGTGGCACATGCCGATAATCCCAGCATTTTAGGAGGCTGAGGTGGGAGAGTCACTGGAAGCCAGGAGTTTGAGAGTGGCCTGGACAACATAGCAAGATCCTGTCTCTACAAAATTTCTAGGCCAGGTGCAGTGGGTCACACCCGTAATCCCAGCATTTTGGGATGCCAAGGCAGGTGGATTACCTGAGGTCAGGAGTTCAAGACCAGCCTGGCCAACATGGTCAGGACACAGTGGCTCACAGGTCAGGTTATAATGCAGCCTGGCCTGTAATCCCAGCACTTTGGAAGGCCCAGGTAGGTGGATCACTTGAGGTCAGTAGTTCAAGGCCAGTCTGGCCAACATGGAGAAACCCGTCTCTACTAAAAATATAAAAATTAGCCAGCATGGTGGCAAGTGCCTGTGATCCCAGCTACTTGGGAGGCTGAGGCACGAGAATCACCTGAACCTGGGAGGTGGAGATTGCAGTGAGCTGAGATAGCACCACTGCACTCCAGCCTCGGCGACAGAAAGAGATCCTGTCTCAAAAAAAAATAACATAAAAATGAAAAATAAAAAATTAGCCAAGCGTGGTGACACACACCTGTAATCCCAGCTACTCGGGAGGCTCAGGCAGGAGAATGGCTAGAACCCAGGAGGCAGAGGTTGCCATGAGCCAAGATCGCACCACTGCACTCCAGCTTGGGTGACAGAGAAAGACTTTGTCTCAAAGAATACAAATACAAATACAAATACAAAAATTAGCCAGGTGTGGTGGTGCATGCCTATAATCCCAGCTACTTGGGAGGCTGAAGTAGGAGAATCGCTAGAACCCGAGAGGCAGAGGTTTCAGTGAGCTGAGATCATGCCACTACACTCCAGCTGAGGCAACAGAGCAAGACTCTGTCTCAAATAAATAAATAGGTAACATGTATGCAATACATACTTCCCACCTTCCTTTTTTCACCTACCAGCACGTCTTAAACATTTCTTAACTTTCTTTAGGTAAGTGCTTTTGTCAAGCACAGAGTTCAGGCTGAAAGCAGGGTACAATCCAGACAATTATAAGCACCAACCCTGGCGCAGTGGCTCACGCCTGTAATCCCAACACTTTGGGAGGCTGAGGCGGGCAGATCACGAGGTCAAGAGATCAAGACCATCCTGGCCAACATAGTGAAACCCTGTCTCTAAAAAAAAAAAAAAAAAAAAAAGTACCAAGGGTTTGGCACGCGCAGAAAGAGGAAGGCTCCAGTGTACCTGTGCAAGCCTCAAGAAGCAAGGAGAATGCCAGACAGAGAGGCAGGGTCTGGGCATGCAGGTTCTTGTCGGTTAGAAAAGAAGTTTGCCATTTATTCTAATTGCAGTAGCCACTGGATGTGTTTTTAACAGACTGGCATGATCTGACTTGTGTTTTCCAATGATAGCCCTGGTGACGGTGTGGGGAGTTGGGTCAAGCCTGGGAGAAGATACCAGATGAGAAGCGCTGTGGTGTTCCAGGTGAGAGGGGATATGAGCTTAGGCTAAGATGATGTAGGAGAAAGGATGGGGGTTCAGGGTATATGTTGAAGGTAGAAAAGAAAAATATCTGGCCAGGCCCAGTGGCTCGTGCCTGTAATCCCAGCACTTTGGGAGGCCGAGGTGGGTAGATCACAAGGTCAGGAGTTCAAGACCAGCCTGGCCAATATGGTGAAAACCTGTCTCTACTAAAAAAAAAAAAAAAAAAAAAAAAAAAAAAAAAAAATAACCC